CGCCCCGAGGCCGCCGCCGCCGCCACCGCCGCCCCCGGCGTCCCCCGGGTCCCCTCCGACGCCACCAAGGTGGTGGCCAAGGGGCTGGGCCTCAACAAGGCCTTCGTGGGCCAGAAGAATTCCTTCACCGTGGACTGCAGCAAGGCCGGTAGGGCCCGGGGGACACGGGGGGGACACACGGGGGACACAGGGGACACCGTCACCGAGGGGCTGGCGGGAGAGCCCGGCTGCGGCTTGGGGTCCTTTTTGAGGGAAAACGCTCCAAGATGGCGTCTTGTGAGAGAAACGTCTCCCCTTTGGGGCCTTTCTGAGGGAAAAGAGCCCCCTGGGGAACTTTTTGAGGGAAAAGAGCCCCTTGGGCACCTTTCTGAGGGAAAAGCCCCACTTTGGAGCATTTTTGAGCCCAAACACTCCTTTGGAGCCTTTTTGAGGGAAAAGACCCCCTTGCGGAACTTTCTGAGGGAAAAGAGCTCCTTGGGCACCTTTCTGAGGGCCTTTGGGGCCTTTCTGAGGGAAAAGAGCCCCCTGGGGAACTTTTTGAGGGAAAAGAGCCCCTTGGGCACCTTTCTGAGGGAAAAGCCCCACTTTGGAGCATTTTTGAGCCCAAACACTCCTTTGGAGCCTTTTTGAGGGAAAAGACCCCCTTGCGGAACTTTCTGAGGGAAAAGAGCTCCTTGGGCACCTTTCTGAGGGAAAAGACCCTTTTTTGGAGCCTTTCTGAGGGAAAAGCCCCCCTTTGGAGCCTTTTTGAGGGATAAGACCCCCCTTTGGAGCATTTTTGAGCCAAATCACTCCTTTGGAGCCTTTTTGACAGAAAAGCCCCACTTTGGAGCCTTTTTGAGGAAAAAGACCCACTTTGGAGTCTTTCTGAGGGAAAAGACCCCCCTTTGGAGCCTTTTTCAGCGAAGAGCCCCACTTCGGAGCCTTTTTGAGCAAACAGAGCCCCTTGGGCAACTTTTTGAGGGAAAAGTCCCACTTTGGAGCCTTTTAGAGGGAAAAGAAACCCTCGGGCACTTTCTTAAGTGAAAACCCCACTTTGGAGCGTTTTTGAGGGAAAAAAAAACCACCTTGGGCAACTTTTTGAGGGAAAAGACCCCCTTGGGCACCTTTTTAAGAGAAAGTCCCCCACTTTGGAACCCTTTTGAAAGAAAAGCCCCCCTTCAGAGCCTTTTTGAGTGAAAAGCCCCACTTTGGAGACCTTTTGAGGGAAAAGTCTTCACTTTAGAGCCTTTCTGAGGGAAAAGACTCCTTGGGCACCTTTTTGAAGGAAAAGATCCACCTTGGGTTCCTTTTCTGAAAGGAAAAGCCCTGTTTTGGGTGTCTTTTTGAGGGAAAAGCCCATGTGTTTTTTTTTTTTTTTGAGGGAGAAGCCCCTCTTTGGGTGCCCTTTTGAGGGAAAAGCTGCACTTTAGGGAGCTTTTTGAGGGAAAATTCCCCCTCTGGATCCTTTTTGAGGGAAAAGACCCACCTTTGGAGCCTTTTTGAGGGAAAAGTTCCCCCTTTGGAGCCTTTTAGAGGAAAAAGCCTTACCTTGGGCATCTTTTTGAGGGAAAAGTCCCCCTTTGGACACCTTTTTGAGGGAAAAGCCTTACCTTGGGCATCTTTTTGAGGGAAAAGCGGCACTCTGGAGCCTTTTTGAGGGAAAAGCCCCTGCTTTGGCCTCTTATTTCAGGGAAGTCTCTCTTTTGGGTCTCTTTTGAGGGAAAAGTTCCCCGTTTGGAGCCTTTTAGAGGGAAAAGCCTTACCTTGGGCATCTTTTTGAGGGAAAAGCTGCACTTGAGAGCCTTTTTGAGGGAAAAGTCCCTCTTTGGACACATTTTTTGAGGGAAAAGCTGTACTTTAGGGAGCTTTTTGAGGGAAAAGCCTTACCTTGGGTACCTTTTTGAGGGAAAAACTGCACTTCGGAGCCTTTCTGAGGGAAAAGTCCCTCTTTGGACACCTTTTAGAGGGAAAAGCCCCTGCTATGGCCTCTTTATTTCAGGGAAGTGTCTCTTTTGGGTCTCTTTTGAGGGAAAAGCTGCCCTTTGGAGCCTTTTTGAGGGAAAAACCTTACCTTGGGCATCTTTTTGAGGGAAAAGCCACACTTTGGAGCCTTTTTGAGGGAAAGGTCCCTCTTTGGAGCCTTTTTGAGTAAAAATCCCCCCTTTGGAGCATTATCGAGTAAAAAGTCTTCACTTCGGAGCCTTTTTGAGGGAAAAGAACCCCCTTGGGCACCTTTTTGAGGGAAAAGTCCCCCTTTGGAGCCTTTTTGAGGGAAAAGCCCCGCTTGGGAGCCTTTTTGAGGGAAAAGCCACGTTTTGGAGCCTTTTAGAGGGAAAAGCCTTACCTTGGGCATCTTTTTGAGGGAAAAGCCGCGTTTTGGAGCCTTTTTGAGGGAAGACCCCCCCTGCAGCGTGTTTCCCCTCCCTTCCGCAGGGAACAACATGCTGCTGGTCGGGGTGCAGGGCCCGCGCGCGCCCTGCGAGGAGATCGTGGTGAAGCACCTGGGCAACCAGCTCTACAACGTGGGCTACCTGCTGCGCGACCGGGGCGACTACGTCCTCGTGGTCAAGTGGGGCGACCAGCACGTGCCCAACAGCCCCTTCCACGTGTCCGTGCCCTGAGCGGCCCCCCTTCCCCCCGGACGTCTGGGGCCCTGGCGTCGCCCCCCCTTCTTCTTCATCCTCCTCCTCCTCCTCCCGGACGCCTGGGCCCCTCGCACCCACACCACTGCGGCCTCTCTGACCACTACCCCTTCGTCACGCCATGTTCCCCCCAGCCCTGGGGAGGGGGATCGGGGAGGGACCCCCCCCCTTTCTGCTGCTTCCATTATGTATCTTTCTTTTCCTCCCCTGCCCCGTTTTTTTTTTTTTTTTGTTATTTTATTTTAATTTTTTTAACATGAATTTTGGGGTGGGGGGGGTCACCCAGCGCTGACACCCCTTGCCCTGCCCCCTCCCCTCACCAAGGAGGGGGGGTGGCCGGGACCCCTAATAAAAACTTGTTCTGCTTCATCTTGTCCTCGGTCTTAATGGGGGCTCGGGTGGGGGTCCCCTATATGTATATAGGGACCCTTTTAAGGTGAAGGGGCCAGAGCTTGGTGGGCCCCTAGCTATGGTTTTCCCCTATATATTAGGGGGCTGGAGGTGGGTGGGACATAAACGTATGGGGGGATCCGACACACTGAAGGCTCCAAGTCCATTTCTGAGCCTTTTTGAGGG